TATATATGTATAAATCAATTCTTATGTACGACAGTACCATATTAATATATAATCATTTATATATATATCATATACATATATATAAATATATATATATATAATCAATATACATAAATCATATAAAATATATAATCATATATCATATTAAATATCAATATAATATATATAAATCATATATAATTAATCATATATACATAATCATATATAATATAATCATATATATATATAATCAATATATATACTAATACAATCAATATATATATTATAAAGTCATATAATACATAAATCATATAATATATATAATCTATATATATGAGATATATATATATAGATTCAATATATAACATATAAATCATATATAATATTAAATCATATATTATATATATCATATAATAATAAATCATATATAAATATAATCATATAATAACTAAATCATATATATATATATCATATATATATTAAACATATATATAATAAATCATATATAATATATAAATATATATATATAATAAATCATATATATATATAAATCATATATATATATAAATCATATATATATAAGTCATATATATATATAAATCATATATATATAAATTATAAATATATATCATAACTATATGTATATATGTTTATTTCCCCTATACATATGTATACAATAATATTTTATATTAGATGTAAGTACTTTTAGACTTTTTAATTCAAATTCCACATAGTTTTAGTTATATATATATATATGTTACGTACGTATACGTATAGATATAATTATATGTAAAGATATGCGTATATGTATATACACATATATATATATATATATAGAATTTTATGGAGTTTGAACGAAATGAAAGTCAAAAAATGTTTTGGGTTATCCGTTTCACGGCCTTATATGTTACAAAAATCATTGGTTTCTCTCTCACACCTTTGTTTTGCCAGCAGATAAAAGTGATTTTCTCAAAAATGACCCGTTTGTATATATTTCCTAAAGCTTTCAGAACATTTGTTTGAACACCATTGCTCAATGATCGTTTCAAATTCAGCGTCCAATTGCGTCCCAACAGCATTTAAATTATTAAGAACAACAGTTTTTTTCATGGCAATATACATCTGCAAAAAAAAAAATTTTTATTAATACATTTATAATCAATTATAAAATTTTGTTATTCAATATAAATCTAAAATAGTTAAACCCAATTAAAAAAAGAAATGTTAGAACGTTTCAGAGATTTTTTTTGTACTTTGAGCAACTGGAACCCAGAGGTTACAAGTTATGAGTTATAGCAATTGGAAATAAATTTCCAGGCACAGAGGTTGGCCTAGAACAGAATGGGATGAGAACGTGTATGATGATGCAAGAAAGATTGGAGTACTAAACTGGAAGAGAGTAGCAGAAGATCGCGACAGATGGAGGCAGATCGAGAGGAAGGGTCACACTGGACTGTAGTGTCAAATAAAAAGAACAACATTAGCACGTATTTTTAGCCGCGATTTTTACTAGATAGTTGATTTTTGCTTGTAAATGTTCTCTTTGCGAAAAACCAACAAGCACCATGTCCTATGCGTAGTGGAGATTTTCAATTCAACTTTCCAAACTATCCGTCTCTTTTAATACGTCACTTTTTTGAGAACAGCATCCTAAGCTTCTTAGTGCTACCCATATAGATTTCTTATCGAGGAAATCAAAAACTTTTAAAATCTATGAATGAAAAATAAAGCGAACTATTAAATTCGTTGCATTGTTCTATTATAAGTCGCAAACTGTTGATGTAATCAAGGCAGGAGCAATTAGAGCTTATTCTTTCTTTCCGTAATTTTTGATCTAGTGTCAAAAGAATACAATTTGTATTTATTAACAGTATTTTATTAAAGGTTTGCACGCTGCAGGCATCAAGTTATTCCTCTCAAATTGTTGCAGTCCTTCTTGTCGCCTTTTTTTGGTATCTTAATTGTAAGGATTTGTTTCCACTCTTCAGGTACTTCTTCAGTACGCCAAATCTCTTTGAACAAATTCATTAGGATGTCAGCCACAGCATTCACAGCTACTTTAAAAAATTTCCCTGGAATATTATCAGTTCCTGTAGACTTCAAATTTCTTTAATTGCGTTATAGCTTGCATAATTTTTTCTATGCTAAGGGGATTTGTAGTTATACTTCTTAAAGGCCGAGTTGGTGGGAAGATAGCCGATGCAATCATATCAACGCCTGAGATGTTGTCTGATAGTTGGATCAGGGATTTATTCTGTTGTTAGAACCTTGCCTAACTTATCTTTGATGGGCATGTTGTTACTGTACTTGTTATATGAAAGTTTCTTTATGAGATCAAAAACAGCTTTCATATAACCGCGCACAAAAGCTGCATCAATTTCCGAAACTAAATTATTTATGAAAGTACGTTCATCGTTTCTTGCCTGACGTCTAACATCTATAACTAAATTCAGGTACACACTGTTAAGTACTTGTCTTCTCATAGGGGATTCGTTATTAAAGTTTTATATTCATTAAATTAATATAAAATTTTTAATATACACAATTCTCTTGCAGTTGCGATTATTAGAAAGAGTTTGATGTCATCGCTTCAATCTGACTTGAAGCATATTGTGACGAAACTGAGTTGGAGATAAGCGAGTTTTGGATTATATTAAATGTAATTGTACCGATCTTTGACTAATTTAGCTGACAGTCCAATTCTGTGTAAGCAGAAGAACTTAGTGGAACGAGAACATTTTGAGCAAATCAGCACTCGAATTTGAAAAGTGTAATGCTAAATCCCAAAACAAAGTTCAGAAGTACTTCCAAATAATTATAATTAATTCATCTAAGGCTGTTAATGCTTACAATAAAGTTATAGCTTGGGCTGAAAGTAATTTTATCAATTTGTATGACCTTTTGGCTTTAAAATGATGCAAAAAAAAAGGTGTTGAAGAATATTATTGCTACTAAAAAATACAAAAAAACAAGTAACTAAGAATAATAATTTCAAGATTTGTTTCACAATTAATTGTAATGCTTGTACAGAAGATTAATAATTAAAAGCGATTTCATTATCTTGTTCTAATTAAAAAGCACAAGTGCTTTGGTTATCTTTTTAAAATTAGAAAAAATATGTAAATTTTTAAAAAATATGTAAAAAATTTTAAATTTGCATATACACTGTCATATCTCTAATTTGACAGGTTCAAAGTTCTCAACCTGTTACTTGTAGTCTAACAATTTTTTTCAAAGATCACTGATTATGAGTATTTGACTGTATACTTCCATTAAAAGTTGGCTTTCGTTATAGTTAATTTAACAAATTAAACAAATTTTGTAAATTTAAATGCAATTTAGTTAATATATTATACAGTATAGTCCCTTATATCGTGTACACAAATCTTAAGTTTTGCTACTATATGAGTACCAATACAATGCACAATGTTTAGAAAAGGGAATAAATGACCCACCCGAATATTTCGTTTTCTTGTTGGTTTATGCTTCAATTGAAACTAATACGGGGTTGCCATATTTTATCATCTTTTAAGACACATTAAAAAAGCTATCTGTTTAAGACATATATTGAAAATTGATATAAAATTTGATAAGAATTTAATATAAGAATTCTATTTATTTTTCAATTAAATTATTGTCATAGGTTCACAATTGCCGTTTAATTAATTGTTTTAATTTAATGTTTGTTTTAGTTAACTTGTATTTTTATATATATTAAACTTGTAAGTTTGTGAAAATGATCATTGAAGATGATTGATATATTGAACGTGTTATTAAATTAAATAAATTTACATAAAGAGGTTTTCGAACAGAAGTGAAACAACAACAAAAATTTATTTTATAAATTTATTTATAATTATAAATAAATTTATAATTAAAACCAAACAATATGTTACGTTAGTAAAAAAAATTGACCTAATAGCCCCCAAAAAATCTAATATAAATATATCCAATATAAATATAATATAATATATATATGTAATATAAATCAATCCATTGTAAATAATTAAGAAATAATTAAAAAAATTTACAAAAAAATTTATAAAAAAATGCTGGCTTTGTATATTTATATACAAGGCCAGCCAGTCCAGTATATTACTAGCCAAGGCCAGTAATATTATTTATCTGACAGTTAGTAGTAATGGTAGTGGCTAAGGCTTAAATGTTTAATACTAAAGTTTGAATCTTGTTGTGGATGAAACTGTTTATTTTTGTTTGTCACATATTTTTAAATGTTAAAATTAAATTAAAACAATTTTTAAATTTTAAATAAAAATAATTTAACTTAGTTAATTACATATTAAATGTTATACACATAAAAAAAATAAAACAAAGCAACAATAATAATACTCATATTCATAATAATAAGATTATTTGCCTTAGTATGGAGGTATTTTGGAGAATAGTACATCACAAGAAAATTTTTTAATATTTATTTATTAATTAAATTTTAGCCTGTATGGTCGGTCAGCTGTACCGAGTAGACCAAATGTAGTCTCAAAAATTTATTTACGAATAATTAAATATAAGAAACCACTGCTGATGGGGATTTGGTATTACTTAAGACTGCTGTATAGTCAGGCAAAAATTTAATTAATTAATAAATAAGAAAAATTTTTGTTTTTGTAATTTACTACTATTCAAAATACCCCTCTATCACAACAATTCCTTGTATTGAGAAACATGTTTTTTTTCGTCATAATTGACTTTAAAAATCAAACAATATTTGTTGTTTAATAAATTCATATAATTTTAAATTAAGGCTCTTGTTATTAATGTTGTTGTTGCAGCCCGAGGGGATCTACTTGTGAAATCCCTTTGGGTGCTGATGAGCAGCACTTGATTGTCGAGCTTAAGTAGTGGCTACGAAACGTAGACCCGACCGTTCTTGAAACCAAGTTGTCTTAATTAACGTATGAAGTCAAAGAGTCAGTGGCCAACTTTACTCTATCTGTATTCACTACGACTCTATAGTCAGTCGTGTGTTTACAGATATTACAACAACAATAGAATTAATAATATCAGTAATAGTGATGAAGACGTAGCAGAAGGTGCAGGAATAACTTCACAAGTCAATAATAAATGTGCCGTTAGAATTATGAATTTTTATAGAAATTCATATTATAAATATAAAATATTTTTATCTATTTAAGAAACAGATAAAATGCTTTATTATGTTGAATATTAAAGTATCAAAGATTAACAGACATAATTTAAAATAAAACAAGTACCTATTTCTGATTCTATTGTTAGTCCTCATCACAGTTAACATATATATGTATATATGTATCATATATATTGTAAAAATAATGCTTTCAATTGATATGTGTGAAAAAAAAACTACAAAAGCATAATTGCTCAAAAATGTTTGAAAAAATACATTTTGAACCACCATTATTTCCAAACTAGTTTAAATTCAAACACTTGTTAGGGTTCCAACTAAAGGTTATTTAATGAAATAAAAAAATATACTTTTAAAGCAATTTTTTTTTTTTATGCGACTCTTTGACAATGTTTATTTCAGTAAATATTAAAAATAGGTATTCCTCATCCAATATGAAACAAAAAAATCTCCTTCTGAAACTAAACCATTTTGCAACTAAACAGTGAGTTTAGACAGTGTCCACTCTGATTGATCGGCAAGATAAATGTTCTTATAAAAAAAAATGTATGTATTTTTTTATATCAGGCTAATTGGTCAATAATGTGAAACTTTTGATAAAAAATAATTGTAATTTATTTAATTTTTTATTTTAAACAATAGTTTAATGTAATAATAAAATAATTTAATATTAAAGAATATACACATGCATATATTGTTTAAAATAAAAACTAAAAAAATTACAAAAATTTTTAACAAAATAAGAAATATATATATATTTATATATATACGAAGTACATAATGTAATATAATGAAGTTTTTCATTTCAATATATCTTGAAATAAAGTTAAAAAGCCAAACCAGGTCTATATAGTACTTATAATTTGAATAAAATTAATAATAAAAGTGTAATAATCTTTGAACTACTATAAACTATTTTAGTTGAACTATTAAACTAAAATAAAAAGCCAGTTTATTTAGCTATATTGCCCCACTCTATGTAAACTATCAAAAATGTATATATTATCATTTTAAGTTGGATGTTGGATACAAATGTTCAATGAGTTTCATAAGCAAATAATTAAAATAATAAAAATATATTTCATAATTATTCTTACCTCTGGTGAGAATGCAGCTATTTTCTTAGCTTCTTCTAAAGCAACTTCATTCAGATTGGTTGTGGATGACAATTTACTAAGCAAACCCGATATAACAGACTCAGTAGAGTGTAGTTTATCACAAAGCCAGAATAATTTGGTTTTCTATATAATCACATATACATATCAAATAATTAATTATAAAAGTATTTTCATATACTCACATATGTTCCCCTGATTTTGGGTAAGTTATTCCAAATGCAATAACCTTCAGGTAACTGTCCAATTTTGGCATATGGAGTTTCATAAGTAGCTTTATCAGTGCCAACAACAACATCAAACAATGGCAGTTGTGTCACACCTAAACCAACATTAGATCCACAAACACCGGCAATAATTGGTTTGGGAAATGTGAGTAACGCGTACAAATAATCTCTGTAATAATAATTATTTAAATTAATTCTAAATTTCTATAATGGGAATTATATATAGTTAGCACAAAAATTAGCTGTGCAAACAAATAAATTACTTTGTTGCTTTCGCTAAAACATGCGCCGCTTGACGGCGTTTTTCTAAAACAGGATGTGCCAGGTCAGTAAAATCTACTCCATGGCAAAAATTCGGACCGTTTGAAAGCAATAACACGACATTACACTGTTTATCCACACTTAGCTCTTTTAATATTTCTACCAGCTTAGCCATCATCTAAAATAAAACGGGAGGCATTTATGATTGTTGATTGAAGACAATGCGTACAGCATTAATTAATGGAATACACAGTAACTATACCTGTGGCGTAAACGTATGGGGTTGTCTTGCCTTATGGGTACTAAATATAATTTGTGCCACATTACTTGATTTTTTTACAACGACATCATGAGGTATTACTGGTGGTTTTGCTTCTCTTCCCTTCTTTGCTACAGTTGGTGTATCCACTTTTGTTACCGGTGGATCTACTTTAGCTTTAGGTGTTTCTTTAGGCGTTTCTTTCGATAAAACTTTAGGCGTATTTTTTACTCCATCTTTAGTTATATCTTTTTTTGCTGCTGAATTTTTCACTTCTTCCGATGTTTCATTTTGCAATTCTTTTGCTGCAGCATCCTTTGAGCCAACAGGCTTCACTTCACTTGTATTATTTTCACCATCTTTTGTTTTAGCGGGACTTTTTACATTCTTTATATCAGCCAAAGGGACATTAGTTCCATTTTTACGTTTTTTAGGTCCTGGTTTCTTTCGAACTTTTGTTGTTTCTGCCGAAACTGGAGATGCCAAAGCCGGGGTTGCTGTTGTTGTCGGTGTGACTTCTGGAGTAAGAACCGCATTCTTTCTTCGACGACCAGGTTTTTTGTTTATTCTTGTTTCTGGTTTTGTAAATTCAAATGAATTATCTTCATTTACAGCTGAATTTTGATCTGTACTTGGAGCCGGTTCCACGATAACGACGCGTTTTTTAGTTCTATTTGATTTTATTGTTTTTACATTTGTTGTCGTTTGTGCCTCGGTTTCTGATGTTTCTGATGTTTCATTTGTTATATTCGATTTCGCGGTTTTATTATTTTTCGTTATTGCTTTACTTACAGGAGTCGATTTTATTGAGGTGGCTGTGGCAGGTGAAGAACTTATAACTAAAGAATTTTCAGATATAGAGGTAGTACTGGCCGAATTTATATCATTATCATTCGGCGTATCTGAGATATCTAAACTTAAATTATTTGAAGTGGTACTGGAGTAAGAACTATTAGAACGCCGACGTACTATCAGAGAATCATCGTCGGCTTTTTGTTTATAAACATGTTCCCAATTAGATGCTACTTTTGATTTGGGACCGCGTTTAATCCTTAAGGAAGGTACTTCTACAGTCTGAACGGATTCATTTGAAGATTTAAAATCATTCTAAAACAGATCAAAATGATTATATATAATTTATATATCTAAATTAAAACTCACCTTTTCCGAAGTTTTGCTAGGCATTTGAGGATTTTGTTCTATTTCTAATGTGTCTTCAGTGTCATTAGTTGTACTAATTTCCACAGATTTCTCATCTACAGGTTCAGGTGTTTTATTCACCGGAACTCGAAGTTTCTCATCTTTTATTTGATTACCCTCTGGCGAATCTTGATCTGCTTTTTCTAGATCACTTGTATTAACTGAAACATTACTACTTTCTTCTAAATTTTCCGATGATTGCTTATCATTCTGTGTGACGTTTAGATCAATTGCATTTTCTGTTATATTCTTTTCATCTGTTATATTGCAATCGTCATCAGAAATATCACTGTAATTTTGAGTTCTAATTACATTAGCAATATTACTCTGTTCCAATACATTTGTGGTGTTGCTCTCTGAACAATTAGTAACATCTTTTATTTGAATGAACTCTTCTTCAACACTGGTATTCACTTGTGATTCATTTTGCTCTTGTTTATTTTTATCTTGATCTTTCTCGACGCCACACTCACCTTTTGCTTTGCTTCCTACTTCAGAAGCCGATAAGGGTGAACTAATTTTAATTAAATTTTTATTATCCAAATTATTTTCCTCGATCGTATCCAACTCTGAATTATTATTAACCGAATTTGAAATTTTTCTACGTTTTTGCGGTTTACGATGTCTCTCTTTTTTCGTTTCTGTCATAATAATATTTTCAGTTTCTATAGACTCAGCATTATTCTCTGTATTACACAGTTCTTCCGATTTAATGTTGTTTATTGAAATACTTTGTTCCTCCTCATTGCTACATTTTGATAAATGATCACATTCATCAGTAGCTGTGTTACTTACTTTAAACTCGTGATCCAATAAAGGATCCACTTCCTGTGCTCTTCTTTTAATAAGACTATGTCCATTGTAAACCGGGGTCATTAATCTTCGCTTTCTTCTACTTACTATTTGTCCTTCTTCAGTTCGACCACGCACATCACTTTTTGAGGAGGAATTTGTATTTATTTCTAAAAGCGGATCGTTTTCCTTTTGCAATTCTTGTATCTTGTGGTCACTAATATTTCCTTTAATTTCTTTATCTTCTGCTACATTAGATATTTGCTTTGTTTCCTTCGAGAAACTTAAACGACTTGATTTAGTTGATTGAGTTGATATTGTACTAGAAGTGGGGTCCCAAATTATTTTTGGTTTTATAATTCGTTTTTCTGAAATTAAACATATAATAAATAAAAAGTAATTATTAACTAAAACAATTTCCATTTGTAATTCATTTAAAAATAATGTAAAATAATTTTCTTAATTACCAGAATGCATGGTTACTGCTTTTAAAAATTCCTCACATCTATCTTCATCCACTATTAATTTTCCCGAACTAGAACTACTTATATCATCTATATTATACATATTTGTTTCTGGTAATTCAGTTTCGTACTCTTCTGAGACCTCCTCTGGTATCTCTTCTTGTACTTCTTCTGGTACTTCTTCAGGTACATCCTCCGGTACCTCCATTGGTTGTGTATCCAGCTGAATTGGATCAACACTATCTTCATCATTTACAGATGTCTCTGAACTTCTCATAGGAGATACTAAAGATATATCTGTAAAGCTTGTTGGTTCTGTTACTTCCGGCACTGCTCTTAATGTAGTTATTGTTGTTGTTGCAAATATTTTTGAAGAAGATTGCATATTAGTATCAAATTCTTGTTCCGTTTCATGTTCATGTTCCTGTTCAGTTTCATGTTCTT